CGTGTCAGGTCTCTTTCAATTAATGCTGTAACTACAGATCGTTTATTGTTTAACTGATTATCTGAGTTAAAGTTTGCATATTTGCCGGTGTTAGTAGCTTTACGATAAATTTTAGTTTTATAGCAATTTCCGGCGTTATTATTAAGACATGAAAAAAACTAGAGTTATTTTCCCTTTCAATGATGAACTCGGTATTTTGCAGTGAGAGGTTATTAATGAGGTTTAGTACCTAATTTTCATCACCAAGATTGCAGAAATATGGCAGCATATTTTGAAAGTCCTTGGAAACAGGTTTGAACTCACGCCCCGGGCCTCATTTCCAAAATATTTCATAAAACATTTGTCACAGATTGGAAACTGGATTGCTATGGATGCCTCTTTGGTTTGTTTAATTAAACTATCATCGAAGAAAAAATATTTTGCTTCTTACGGTCAAAAAGTTATCAACTTTATGACAAAATTAGCTGATCGATCAGTACGTTTAAGCGAATCGTCTTCTTTATGTAGTTTACGAATTATTTTAGTTGTAAAGTCGACAGGAATTATAGTAAATAAGTCTGTATGAATGCCATTAGTAACTACAATGCTCTCTTCAGAGAGTTTAATCAGTTTCAGTTAATTGCAAAACTTGTGGATGTTTTTGGTGTATCATGAGTTTTTCCAGTTAAAGTTTTGTGTCTTAGCAGGAAATTTTGAAACCTTTGTGAAAATAATAGTGCACATTAAAACAGTGGTCTGAAGGAAACATTTGATTTATGTATTTTAAGTACGGCGCTAGGTGGTTGCAGTTAAATTTGATAGGTGTTTTTATGTATCTGAAAATCTTAGGATCGAAATAATCACCGTACCATACCCTATAAAACCGCTCAAAGTTAAAAAACAACAAAGAAGGCAGGATCGGTACCTGGAAAGGATGTGTTGGGGACAGATGTCACCACATTTGTTTGTATAATTTAACTTATTCATAGTCACTGTATCATTGTCTTTCTTAGCTATGTCACTGTTTGTGTTTAAGGGTTTAATGACTTTAAAATCAGTTACAGTCGAATCAGATTTAAGTGGTTTAGTTTCGAGTTATATGGGGGGTTAGTTTCTTTTATTATGGCCTTTATTAACTTGTTGTCCAGTTTTTGGGGTGCTTGAATTTCTGTTGGATATAGTTTCAAGCGAGGGAAAGTTTTGTTAGTAAGTAAAGTTTAAGCATTTAAGCTTTTGGTTAAAACAGTTATCTGATTCGTCGAGAGTTAGACCTTGCGTAGGACTATTACAATTTATTGCTAATATTAACGGAGAGAATGTTAGAGCTACGGAAATTTTTCGTTATTTCGAGAAGATTATGTAGTTTCTTTACGGGTACTGCACTGTTTTGTATGAAGAAATTGTAATTTTTAAGGCGGAGATCGTGTACTGGATATCGATGGCTGTCGAGAAGTATAAACTATTTTAATAAAATAGAGATTGAAAAATATGACGAGAATGAGAAGTTGAAGGATATAGATTAAAAAGTTTAGATATTTAATGAGATTGAGCGACACTGAGATACTGAGATCGAAAGGTTGAAGAATATTAAGAGAAGTGATGCTCTTGAGTTGGGATGAAAGATATATTGACAAAATGATAGATGAACAGATAAAGAAAATGAAAGACAGGTACAAAAAAGCGATTGAAAAATCTGTAGATTGACTTACGTAATTTTGATTGTGCGATCGAGAAATTTACATGCTGAGATTAACTGATTACGAGATTCTAATTACTTAGAGATCAGGGGTTTTGACATATTGATGTCATGTAAAGAAAGGGTCACCGCGAGGATCAGAAATAAAAATTTACATTTAAAAATAGAGGTATACGAGATTTAAAGATTAAACGATACACGTATTTTGAGGAGTATAAAAGAATCACGGACTTAGAGACTCAGTGGCACAGCCAGATGAAAAAACTGTAAATTAAGAGAATCACATGGAGAAGTTGTAATTTCAAGAGACTGAGCTTCTGAGGGAGATAGTGATGATGCTTTAATAGATGTAATTGATGAAGCTAGCCATCAGAGTTGTAGACATTCTGAAATACGGAGAATGACAGTTATAGAGACGAACGTAGAGGTTTAAGATACGAAGAGATCGAGAGCTATAAAGGTGCGGAAGTACAGAGGGATTGCAGGATACTGAGACAATGAACGATACGTAGGGAACGCGAAGTGAAGACAAATTATGAGAAGTTGTATCAGGTAGAAAGATTGAGGCAGAATATCTGAGATAATGAAACAAGTAAAAGACTGGGTGAATTAGAGGCTAAGAGAGTAAGTGAATGAGAAGTTGGTTGAAGCAGTCGCGCAATCAGTTAGTGGACTATTTTACACTTTACAGTGCTGGGTTCAAATCCTAGCGCGTCATAGATTTCTTATTCACTGCTAATTTCTCAGAACAAGGAAATATCCCCACTGTGCTTTGATGCAATCAGCTGAAAAACGTGTAGCAGCTCGTTGACTTGCAAGGCTAGGGATAACGACGTGTTTGGTATGGTTATGCCAGTCATGCGAGACATACAGTCATGGTATCTCATGCATAAGCTTTCCCATTCACCGTTGCCCATTTGATTGCTGACTATAAGTCAACACAATGGTTAAACGTAAATTGAAAAAAATAATCAAAAGGAAATTATTATTGAGATGTTTAGAGATCAGAGATGCAGAGACCAAAATTTGTAGTCTGATAACGAAATTGTAAGCAAATGAATCATGCTCCTTGAGAATAAGCGAGGGATTGACAAATACTGCTTGAAGGAGCTTGATTTGTTACTGTGACTGACTTCATTGTTCATCGTTTTTACATTTTCTGATTTCTCTGATTGAGTGAGGAATTTTGTTCCTTGTACTTTGAATTTCGTTGATTTACTTTATTCTGATAAAATGTTGCTGCTTTCAGATAAATGGTCCATGCGATATCAGCAACTTCGACCATTATCCGCCGGAATTCGATGTACCCCCCGACGAGACGTCAGGCTGGGACGAAGGATTCTAACCATGTTGATCCGAAGTCTAGACGAAAGACAGTTTCTTAACACGGTTTCTCGGTTGATCTACATTGTGGTCACCTATCTGTCGATCCAGAATCCCTCCTGAGCGATCACCTGTGATGCTTGCGCTTCCAGCCCTTATCGCCTCTGTAAAGACACGTTGTCGTCGTTATAGTTTTTTTTATCCATTTGCAAAGAAATCCATTCAGCTCGCCCGCCCGACCGACCGTGGTACTTCTGTAAACTCGCCTCGCTGCCTGCTTTTTCTGTCAGTTATTCTTCGTTATATCTACCACATGAAATGCAGCCTCCTCCGTCAGTCTTGCTTCTTTCTTCTACTGGCTCATTCTTGCTATGACTAGCTTACAGGCTGCGCTATAACAAAACGAAATCATGTGTACCCGCTCGCGCAGCTACGTTTGCCGTGAAGTGTACGATTTGAAATTTTTGCATTCCCTCCCGGTGTTTCGTCTAATCAAGACCCCTCGCTTGTTTTTTTCCTGCAATAGGTTACGCCATTAATCGCCGTTTCTGGTTTTGTTTAAGGCAAGACTATCTGGTTCATTTTCAGAGCCACGTCCGTAGGGTGTGCCAGAATGTACATACACGTTGAAGTGCATTAAATACACAGTGTTTTAAACGTTGCATACGCTGTGCCATTTGTATGATGAAATTCTGTCGAATGCATTCCGTTAATTTTAATAATCGTTTGCTTCGATGGGGTGATGATAAACGTTGATTATTTAAGTTCTTTTATAAGAGTAAAAAAGTTATTTTTTTAAACAATGGATCAAAAAGTGACGTTTTCCACAAATGGAGACCATCGTGCACAACAGCAAAAAAAACAAGGACCGACAAGAACTTTTTTGAAATGCACAATCAAACATTGTTTACTATTTCAAAACTGTACACATTTTAATAATGCGTAATTTGCCTTTCAATCTCGAGAATGTCTTCAACAAGCTGCTCCCTCGTCGATCCTATGCGTTTCGCTAATTCCTGTTTTTCAACCCTGTTCAAGTCGAGATACTTGTACAAGAGATTTCCGTCCAAAATGTTCTTCTGCGGATTTGATAATTCCGGAATGGACGTCTTAGCCGTATGAAACGGCCGGGGGTTCAAGCCAGCCGCATGAGGAATCATCGACACAAGCAAGTTTTGCAGCATCAACAGACGACGGTATGTCTTTTCGCCAAGAGGAAACAAACAGTTTAGACTTCCATCTGTAGTGCCGTAAATAATGACATGTCTAAAAACAGATATGGCGTATTTTGGAACTGTTTAAAATGTGCCTTTACTCCAAAAGAGTACATTTACTAAATAAATTAAACTGTGCTCAGAAGTGACCTAAAGAGGTGATAACAGTTGAAATGTAGTGAGGTTACAATTGAAGGACGACTTGGGAACGGGAACCCGTTACTGATACAACTGTAGCCATATTGGTCCACTGTGTAACCGCAAGAATGACTGTGACTTGTTAGTTATAGTTTGAGAGGGCCTTTATCCCCATTCTTATCTACGGTCATGAATCGTGGACCGTCACTGAAAAACTTCGAACCCGGGTACAAGCCGCTGAAATGGGCTTTCTTAGACGAGTCGCTAGCCTTACGTGTCTCGAGATGGTCCTAAATACTTACAATCCGGTAGAGCCTTGATGTACAGCCTCTGCTTCTCCAGATTGAGACGTCACAGCTGTGACAGCTTGGGCATATGTTGCGAATGCCTCCAGAAAGGAAGGCTAAGCAACTGTTCCTTGCAAATCCGACCGGCAAAAGCCACAAGGGACGGCCAAGATTAACCTGATGCAAACATATAGAAGGAGTCTGTTCCAGACTGCATTTGTCTTTTGCCGAAGCTCAGACTCTGGCACAGGATCGGGA